ACTGGCACAAAATCACGTGATTTCCAACAAGGACGCCTGGAGCGGCTGCCGTGACGAGCTCTGCGATGCTCTCGTCATCACCTTCGGCCGCTTAGCTCAGCTGGTTAGAGCATCGTACTAATACTCAGACAGAGTATCAGTCAATGCGGAGGTCGGCAGTTCGATCCTGTCAGTGGTCAGAGATCACGTTAAGTGTCTCCCTTTTTCGATGAGAGATAGAGGAGAGGCTGGAGGAAGACAAGGGGAACGTTATTGACGAAGAGGTAGGATTCTCCCATGGTTGCCACTGAGAGTCCTATGCCGCGCCAACGAGCTGTTGCGTGGGTTCTAGACAGTGTTGCCTTGCTCAAGATGGGTGCTGAGCGTCTGGCAACCAAAGACACGCAAGGTGTGGTGGCAGTAACGGCTTTGAAGGCGGCCGTTGTCACTATTGATATCACGGGCACTGCTTGGCTCAGCCCTGTCACGCATCATGTACAAAATGTCAGTAGAAAGCGTTCACGTTCAAAATGGGGGCCACGATGCTCGCAAATGACATGCGGTGTGCATTGTTCTTCACTTTCGCCTTACTTGGCCGACGAGCCGTGAGATGATCCTGAACTCCGAAATACTCCAACGGCCTCACTGATTCCTCCCGTTGAAGCCTCCCTATGGCCGTTTAGCGAGGAAGCTCAGAGTACTCCACTGAGATTGTATGTACGCTCAAACCTATATGCAACGTTGAAACAGGCGAGAAGATCACGACCATCGCTGAAACCTCGGCAGTAATCGGAGAGACATAACACCTCTCCTTGGTAAGTAGTCCGGCGATGGGGGCTAGCTTGACAGTGCCATGCACTCGGGAGAACTCACAAGACACAGCCCTCGGTAATGCTGGCCTTGCATGCATGCGAAGATTGTGTGATTTACGCTGGACGCTGATAACGGCGGTGGGTCACAGAGGCGTAGCACTCCGCCTCCTTATTTCAGTGGAAGAATTTTTCCCTTCTACTCTGTAGAGTCGAGGAAACGGTCGCGGGTTCGAGTCCCGCAGGAGGTTCTACCTCACCAAGGACACACGGGCACGTCCCCACCGTTTTGTGGACGTGCCGTTTTGCGCCGTGATTGGAAGGATTGGCACATTTTCATGGATATTCGCACCATTAAGGGAACTACGGTGCCACCACCTTGGCTCCTGGCGCATAAGGCCCAGGGTCGTCGCTTGCAGGGAGCTTCTTATTGCCAGAACATCGTCGCGCGGCATCCTCTATCCCTGCCTGCGTACATCCTGCCTTGCTTGAAACAAAAGGTGATGGATGACGCCATTGGGGATGATTGTGGCAGTGGCAGAATCCTGAATATTCACAATTTCACCTTCCTTCCTCTTCTGCGAAGAGATTCAAAAAGCGGCGCCCACTGGGATTTGAACCCAGGACCACCTCCAGTGCCATTATAATAACACCCAAAGAAGGTATGATAACGACTACACCATGAGCGCACGTGACTTGCCATCGAAGGGCAATCCTGCCGGCCTCGCAGGGGGATCCCTTATGAGGAGGTCGCACTGCGGCGCGCGCACGTGACTTTGCGCCGTTTTCAGACCCGTTATGATAGCCTGCTGAAGTGTTGAAGGTCCTGGTGGCAATGGCACATGGACGCCAAAAGTCGGCCTGCCCTGACAAGATGGCGCCCTTCGGCGGCCTACGCACCGTTCCCAAGGTCAGCAGCGGACGCCCGCACTTACACCCATCAGTGTTCTTCGAACTAGCCGCCATTCAATTGCCCATGTGCGCTCACAGTCCGCCACGTCGTCCAGTCCGCTGTCCAAGAACGTGTCATTACATTAAGCTCGGTGGTTAAACTCAGCTACATGTGGTCGCGATTCTTCAACTGAGATACACCCCCCCGTCTCCCCCGGCTGAGGCAGCAGCTCCAACTTGTCCGCGTAATCTGCTTTCCGCTGGAACGGCCCCTGAACGTTGGAGCGCGTCAGGACCTCTGTCGGACCGAAGCCGGGGCTCACCACGGGCACAACGAGGATGGGCCGTTGCGCACCGGCTGGAACAGCTGCGCATCTACGCCGAGAGGGTTAGAGGCACTGATGAACGATGCCCAAGCTCGCTCCTTGACCGCCTTCGGAAGGTCATGGAATGACCAGGTGCCGAACGGAACCATGGATTGCGAGTGGCGGTTGCCCTTGGGCTTGTCCTCCGCCTTGCCGCCCTTGGTGAACTCGGGCGGGTAGTTCTCGCCGGCTGCCGAGATGCAGTCGTGCGACGTCGGCTTGAAGGGGCGCACCCAGAAGCAATCCCCTCTTGAGCACCGGTACAGCGTGCTCGACTCGGTCGCCTTGGTGAGGAACGGCCGGAGATACGTCTCATCGAGAGAGATCCGCTGGCGCTCGAGATCGGGGCGGCCGCTCACCGTCGTCAAGACAACGCCGATCGCGTTGGCGAAGGCCCACTCCTCTGAAGAGCTGAGAGCGACAACTGTCTGCGGCAGCTGCACCTGCTCCCAGCCGGCCGGCAGCAGCGCTGACCAACCCCACGCCGCAAGAATGCTCCTGCCCTCCTCAAGCGTTAGGACCTCCTTCGCGATGAGCTCGATGAGCTCCAGCTTGTCGAAGAGCTCCGAGAAGCAAGGGCTGTCCATGGCCTGCCAGCCCCAGTTCAGCTTGATCTCGCTCAGGTCCTTGCGGGTGTACACGGCCTTCGTCGACGTCGCAGTGGTAGAGGGGAGGCGGGTCGCACAAGCGTGTTGGACCCTGAACTTGCCATAGGATCTGGCGCCGGGAACACTCGCTCCGCATGAGGCGCACGTCACGAGGACCACGTCCAAGGGCGTGTAGGACTCCTCGTGAATCAAGGCCTGCAGCGCCTCGTCCACCGGCATGACGTTGGAAAACTGTGTGGCTGGGTTGTCGTTCCGACGAGACTCGTACCGGTCTCGGCCCTCCTGCGTGCCTCGGCCCACTCGTTCGCCCATCACGGCACCGCTGGCGACCGCTGTGCGACCCCGCAGGCTGTGGATGACAGCCTCACGGCCCGCCGCGAGGGCCCGGAGGCGCTTGAGCTCGGCGTGCATGGCGTCGGGGACGGCCGCCTCGCCAGCCTCATACATCTCCTCGAATGATGCCCGGTCGTTCGGGTACCCATTCGCGAGGATGTACGCCAGATATGCGCCCATGCGACGTTGGTGCGCTGCGTCGGCGGTGAGTTGAAGCTCGCTTCGATCTTGCGCGAGTAGTGGGTCGTGCTTAATCGCTCCCCGATGCATGTTGAGCAGGACTATCGCGTATCGCCCGTCGCCGAGGTCGGCGATAGTAGCCTTGCCGACCAACGCCATGATCTCGAGTGATTGCATGGCAATATGTCCGGGCGGTGCGGCTGGAACGTGGGTCTCGCAGTCGTAGAAAGTCGGTTCGTCATCGAAAGCAGCGACCTTGCTCATGTTGTCGTCCACGAAGGCTGCGGCAACCTCGGCAGCCTCGGTCCAGATGACTGGTGGCCAGCCCAGCACAGCCAGGAATCGGCGCAGGAACGTCGTTGACCACCACCACTAGTGGTGGCCAAAGAAGCTGAAGAGGTCAGCTAGAGGGGGAAGCACCTCCATCTTCTCCTCGGCTGTGGCACCGTACGGGTTGTCAATCCCATGTTGGTGCAGCAGCGCGGCGTTGGCGAGCTGCGGACCGGGACCGGCGAGTCGTTCGCGATAGCTCATCTCGGCATGTCTACCCTCGAAGGCCTCCTGGGTGATGTCTTTGGCGGCCGCCACAACGGGGACTCTCCCTTGAACTGTGCATCGAGGGGTAGCCATCGTAATTTGGGCGTTGAGGGCCACCGGCTCAATCCCTTCGCTTCTCGTCTTTTCTGCGAAGATGGAGTACATCCCGCGAAAGTGACGCTGAAGCGCTTGGATCATGGCTGGCTGCACCGGACCGCGAGTAAGTCGGGGCAGAGGCTTGGCCGGAAAGCGGTCGACGCTGAACTCGTGGTTGAAACCTCCAGGAGCTCTGTTCAGGCACAACGGGTACCTCATCGAGATCAAGGTATGTTTCTCATTCTGGAGCTGGCGGCTGGCGCGGTATTCGTAAGGGTCGACGAAGACTTGGCCGAGGTTGCCGCGGTAGACCTTGACGGAGTCGATACCCCAGAAGTCGACGAGCTGCTTATAGAAACTGCGGCCCTGCTTGAAGTCGTTACTAGCCCTTGACTGGGGAGTAACGTTAACGCTGCACCCGGCATAGTACACGTAGGCAGGTCCGGGGCGACTGACTCTCATCTTGACGGTCCCGATGAAAGGTCGGAGGTGGGGTTCGAGGCCAAAAATGTAGCCACAGCCTGGCTGAGGCGGGAAGGCAAATTGGAGAAGCTGTCGAAAGTCACCTGGCTCTCGTGATGTTCGAGCAGATGTGGGATCGAATATCATCTCTGCGTGGTGGCGACGATGGTCCCATGTGACTGCAGAAGACATTCGAAAGACTTGCGAGCTAAACGGAATGTATTGGAGTAGACAATTGCCATCTCCTTTCTTGCGCCTTCCCTGGGCTGTTCGCACTTCGCACAAGGTGCTGATTTGAAGGCTTCGCAAAGTCTTGTGGCGGAACAGGATCATGTCAGTGCTAGGAAGCACAGTGTGCACTCACCAGGTTGCCAAGCTGTTTAGTCACGGAAGTCGAAAAGCTGGAGACCAATGATGAGTCGACAGAGAAGCATGAGTTAGGCTGAGTGACACGTAGCACAATGATCCGCGGTGGAGTGAGCGGGGGCGCAGGACGGAGGAAGTGGGTGCTCGGCGTGTGGCGGTCTAGGATGGTGGAGGACCCATGCACCCAGTGCTGCCAACACCCTACATACTCTTTCATCGGTGCTTATAGAAGCGCTGTCGACCTTTCGCATGGCTTGGGTAGGGTGCGGGATTGCGAAGGAGAGTGCGGTGTCACATCAGCTCTGTCGGAAGCACCGAGGTGGGGGAGCGATACCGATGCGACGGCCATCCCGCGTCGTCTGTTCCGAGAGTCAAGCTACTGAGTGGTGCGGGGGTGCGAGTCTCATGTTGTACGATGGGCTCCACGCATATAAGTGCTGCCCTTTCACTTCGCCATTGACACGTTCGTCACTCAGCCTGCTCAAGTCAGCCACATGACACAAAACCACTCATCCCAGAGCTCTCGCCGCTCGAGCCTCCTCAGCAGCTTGGCCAGCAGCTTCTCCAAAACCTCAAGCAATAGTTCCAGCTCCAAGACATCCACCAAGACATCGACCTCCGGGTCCACCAGCACTCACTCTTCGAGCGGCTCAAACTACTCGTCAAGCTACCCCTACTCTTCGGGATACTGGGCCGAGTCGGACGGGTCGATCTACGGCGCCTTCACCCCTGGGGTGTTCGGACTGCTCCCCGACCCGTCCAACTATCTCCGCGACCCCACCAAGTACCTCATGAACGGGCAGCACCGCACGGCGGCCCATCCCTACGTCGCTGAATCGCAGCGCGACATCCGCATCCAACTTCGCACGACCACGACGACTCACACCGTTGCTGGGTTTGAGGTAACCAAGGTCGTGAAGCGGTACACGTTCCCCGATGGGAGTGTGCATGAGACAACGCACACGCGCAGCGAGGCGTATGGCGACGAGGCGAACATCAGGGAGCTGAGGAAGTACCTAGGCCAGAACTAGTGTATGCATGGGTGACAATGGGGCGCACTTTGTCAGCGGGTCTGTCTGTCGCGGTGTGCGTCAGTGGTGCGGTCAATAAGTGCGCACCTCTCGCATCGTTCTCGCCCCTTGGCCGCGTCAGTCTCCTCCGAAAGCTTATATATCAACAACTCTTTGCGCTCGTCCCATATCTCACAGCCCAACTCAGCATGTCCGACACCGACGGCGACCAGCCAGCCTCTGCCCCCAACAGGTCCTGGGGCGATGTGGCTCATTACGCCGCCGCCGTCCTTGGTCTCCTAGCCCAGCCGAGTGCTCCGGCCACTGTGGAAGCTGCTCAAGACCCACCCGCGCCGCAGGAGGAAGAAGAGAGGATCTGCATCGCCTGCGGCAAGCCCATGGTGTGCTGCAGGGAGAGCTCGGGGGAGTGCGAGTCGGACCCGGACACACTGGAGGCTGGCGAGTATGTCAATGTTGAACACCTCACTGAGCAGATGGAGGAGACGGCCCTGGGTGATGGGGAGGAGGCTGTTGCTGCTGTGCAGTTGGTCGCTGCTGTTCCTGCTGTGAGCAAAGAGGAAACTGGTAAGGCTAAAGTTAAGAACCACTCCGAAGCCGCGTCTCCTGCCAGCACCGACCCGCCCATGGGCGCCACCTCCCCTGCTGGGCTTTCCGACAACCCCGAGCCTTCCTCCAATGCTCAGCCTCCCTCAAACTCCACGCCTTCCAACAGCGCCGAGTCTCCTGCCCGCTCCAAGCCTCCCGCGGACAAGTCCAGTCCCGAGCGCACCAACTTCCCCGTCCTCATCCCACCGTCCTTTGTCCTATCCCCAAACCCCGTCTCACCCCTGCACGATCTGGCCGAGCAGACCCAGCAATTCCTCCACACGTCAGGTGCCGTTGAGCCCTCCGTCGCTGGGTTTTCTGGTCCTTCAGACTCCAAGAAGCCCGGGAGCACTGAGGACGCTAGCACTGCGAGCCCTCAGAAGGAGGAGACCGACCGTCCCGACTCTAATCCGGACCCACACGCCGACGCCGACGCCGCCGCCGACACTGAGACTCTCTCCGACACCCATGCCAACGACTGCGACTGCGACTGCAACGCCCACCCAGACTCCCCACCGCACTACGCCCCGCACACGCAGGTCCTGGACGTGGCCAACCTCCGCGTCCCGCCGACACGCACGCGCCGGCGCACCGTAACCGCTCCGGCGCGCGTTGGGTCAATCGAGGCCCAGTTCCGCTCCGTCATCACGCGCTATCCCGGTGGAGGGTGGAGGAGGGAGCGAGTAATCCGGACCCGGCGTACCGGGGGGGATGTTGATGCGGATGAGGAGAGGCTGAGGAGGTATATTGCAGAGCAGGAGAATCCTTGGCACGACTATAAGTGGGAGCGGGAGGAGTGAGGGTGGCGTCGGGCACGGGCGCATTGATCCTCCCCCCATTGTCCCGATTGCCGCTGTGACCATCAGAATCTACTGTCTGTGTCATTTCTGTCTTTTATTAGTTTATTAAGCCCCTTATGTATGCGTGAAGTCGCTCTTGTGCCAACGCAGTCGATCGACAGTCAGACATCGACTTTCGCTCGAATTTTCGAGGCTGTCTTCATAAGCAACGAGATTTTCGTCCAGACATGCCTCGTTATATCAGTCGGTAGATAGTGTGACTCTTACGCAACATAGCCGATTGATCACACAGTCATGGGTTCGAGCCCCATACGAGGCTACTTTTTGATTTCTCTCGGGCCACTCTGCAGTCTGCGAGGTTTGCAGCTTTTTGATCACCACCTCCTCGACGGTGAGCGGCGGTATGTGGAAGACAAGCCTTGAGATTCCCGCTCTATGCTCTTGTGAACGGACCGGACCGGGAATCAGCCGTCGGTGTTGCCCGGTGTCAGGCGCGCCATGACGTAAATGCGCGTGGGCCAAGGAGGGCAGTCGCCGCGTTGATATCCCCGCAGTCGGTGACGAGCTAGGAACCAGCGATGTCAGTGAAGGGTGCGATGATGATGCCCGATGTGAAGTGATGTGTGCGGCGCCCGTCGTCGAATCGTAGATAAGATTGAGGAGTGGTGATGTAAGGTGTGATCGAGATAGGAGGGGGTTTGTGACGGTGGTCTGGCTGACACGGGGGCTGCGCAGTATTCCAGCGAAGCTGCGCGGACGCGTTCGAGGATGAGTCAGAGCTTAGCTTCAGAGACCTGCAGGAGGGCGAGCTCGGCGAGACATCCTTTGCTGCGCTTGTGAAAGGGAACCGGGAGTGTCAGTTGAGAGTCAAGCTGCGATTACATTCGGAATCAGATTAAGGAGGGTGGAGTGGGTGTTGAGTGGCGAAACCTAGCCATGACGTCTGAATCTGGGTTTATGACGGTGTTCACATGACCCCCGCCTCGCCACTCTCTAGTGCTTGCGCGCTTGCTGCCCGCGCCCACTTGCGTCTCACGTCTTTCACGGTGCTGCGGTGCCCAGACACAGTCTCCTACTGATCAGCACGCGCATCATGCATCATGTGCCAGCCTGCCAGCTAAGCCAGCCTTTCGGCGACCTTCCCCCACCTGCCTTTCCACGAGCCGTTTATAAGCAAGCACATCCTTTGCACTTGTCTCCCGCATCCTCACACCCTACACTGAACACACTTTGACTCACCACTCTACAACCATCATGCTCGCCCGCACCGGACTCAACACGGCCCGTACCGCCTTCAACCGCAAGGCCATGCAGCAGCGCCGCTGGACCCAGGTCGACACCCGCGGCGGAAAGCCCAAGCTCGTAAGTCACCCCTGCTACCAGATAGACGCCCGAAGCTGACATACAGCTCTTCCGCTTCGGTCTGAAGGGTACGTGACTCCAGAACATCTTTAGTCCACCAGGAGGAGACGAGTAGGTGGAGCATAGTGCTGACATTGTCCTTCGCCGGGATCAACGGAACCAACACCACCACTTCCCACACTTGCACTTCGCCACCACAGACGTCCCCGTCGAGCTGTACCCTCTCGCATTCTGTGTCGGTGTCGCCGGACTCGGCGGCGTCGCCGCCCTCGGCAGGCAGAGTGAGTCACTACGTCTGCTCCAATATCCGTTCCAGGTGTGCTGACTTTCCCACAGTGGCCAACGGAACTGTACGTTTAGTTAAAACTTCCACGCAGCCTAACTAACCTCCAGCTCCGCCTCAAGCGCGACGGCCGCGCGGACCCGCACTAGTCGCATCGACAGTCGAGAGTCGAGGACGCGGAATGTAGTGATATCAGAAGAGATCAGAAGTGAAGCATTGAAGTAAGCCAAGTTAGGCCTCAGAAGTATGAATGGTATGATACATCGCTGCTGCACAGATGCACTCGACATTACGGTAGAGCAAGGGGACGAGCGATTGCCGGCGGCATCGGTGGCCGCAATTGCGCTGGCCAGTGAGAGGGCGTGGATGTCATCGAATAACGCGGGGTGGGAGGGGAGCGAATGAGCGTCGAGCGCCGAAAGCCAGGAACTGCCATGCGTTGCTTTCGCCGGCGACGCCTAACTGCCAACAACTAGCTCGCTCTCCTGCGTTGCTGGCCTGCGTAGCCTTGCAGCTTGCGGATGCGGATGCCAATGCAGCTTCCAGACCACCTCGACAAAGGTTGGAGGCGTCGCCAGGGCGGTGAGGCGGAGGCGTCGGCTGGGCGCTGTGTTTCCCCCAAGGCATCGTGCCTTCTCTTCTCCTGCCGGTTGACGCCGTTTACCCATGAATGTGGCCCTCAAAGGCATGGTACGTAGCGTGCGAGCGCAGGTCAAGCGGTCAAGTGGTCAAGTGGTGAAGTGGTCAAGCGGCGGGGACGACCATCACAAACAGCGAGCAGCTGACCAGCACCTCACCCCTCCCAGCCTGTCGTAGCCTGCCGCGCTCTTCGAGATGGCGCCTGGACGCACGCCCAGCCACTCCTCACAAAGACGTCCGAGTTGCAATGCGGTGCCGCGTGGACGCCGCCGGCGCCCATCTTCCGAGTGGGAGAAACAGGAGTTTGTCCGTTGGCAGACAGGGTGAGGCTGGGGGCAGAGCGCACTTGTGAGGAGCACGCCTGCAGAGCTGGCATGGCAGCATGGCAGCCGCCAAGCCGTAGCGTAGCGCGCCGCGGGTCGGAGGCAAGTCGCGGCAATGACTTGCCTCCGATGGTGGTCGTTACACACTTATGCTTGGCTGCCCACGTATCTGTGTGTGCAAGGCTGTTGCTGTTGGAGCAGGGCTCCTGCTCTTCAGACAGTGCGATAATGGCTGCCAGCCTTTCCTTTTGTTTTGGCATAGTTGGGTTCGCAATTCGTAGTGACGTTGTGACACAGCCAAGGCCGGGGCGATGCGATGGGAATGTTGGGATGCTCGTTCACGCGCCATCACAGTCTAGAGCCTACTCACCACCTCTGCATGACGACGAAAAAGAAATCAGCCACTACGCGCACTACGGCCAAGTCACGTCCTCCGTTGCCATCCACTGCAACAATATTGCAGGCAGCCTGCTGATATCGGCGAGTTAGTCACCCTTCGTTCCCGGCACACTCCAGACCTGGCAGAGCGCGGCACAGCCGGTGCACGGACCGCTTGCGCTAGGTAATCTCGGCTATGCGAAAAGTTGTGTGAACTATCGTATGCGGGGGGTTAATGCATGCGGTGTTTTCTTCTGCTCTCTACTTTGGCCTACATGACAGCTAGATGGTTAATCAAGAAGTGGCCCCTCTTACGGAGAGGCCCGCCTCGCTCGCCGCGAAGGAGTTTGCTATGCTCGCTGGCTCGCTTCGCTCGCAGGCTCGCAGCGCCGGCGCGCTTAGTTCTTCTTCTTCTGGCTGTCCTCAAGAATGGCAGAGATGGAGGCCCAGACGAGCTTGGGGCTCTGGGCGGCGTCGACGGGGGCCCAGATGCCAGTCTTGCGGTAGTAGTCGACGACGGGGACAGTCTGCTTGTGGTACGTGACGAGACGCTTCTGGAGGGCCTCGGCGTTGTCGTCGGAGCGCTGGATGAGGGGCTCGCCGGTGATGTCGTCGGTCATGGGCTTCTTGGGCGGGTTGAACTCGCGGTGGTAGCTGCGTCCCGAGCCGGGGTGGACGAGGCGGCCGGTGATGCGGGAGATGAGCAGCGCGTCGGGGATCTTGAGCTCGATCGCGTTGTCGAGCTTCTTGCCCTTGTCCTCGAGCATGGCGTCGAGCTTCTCCGCCTGCGGCACCGTGCGCGGGAAGCCGTCGAGGATGAAGCCGCGAGCGCAGTCCTTGTTGTTCTCGAGCTCAGACTTGATCATGTTGACCATGATCTCGTCAGAGACGAGGCCACCGGCGTCCATGATCTTCTTGGCCTCGACACCGAGAGGGGTCTTCTGCGAGACCTGCGAACGGAGCATGTCACCGGTAGCGAGGTGGCAGACAGAGTACTTCTCCGAGATGGCGGGGGCCTGGGTGCCCTTGCCGGCGCCGGGGGGACCGATCAGGATGAGCTTGGGGGCCTCCTTGTCGCCGACAACAGACGAGATGGCGTCCGAGACCTTGTCCTTGGCGGACGAAGCGGCGTCACCGGCCTTGGCCTCGATCGTAGCGATCTTGTCCTGAAGCTGGAGGTGTTAGCGATGGGGTCTGCGCCGACGTGTGTTCCCGAAAGGCAGAGTGTATTTGCGCCCGATAAGTGTATCACGCCCTTTCGGAACACATCTCGGGTGAATGTCGGACCGGCGGAGTGATGATGTGATCACAAGGAAGGCTGCGAGCAAAGAGCAAAGAGCAGCGCCAGGCAGCCTTTGAGCGTGCATGAGCACTTCCGCAGCTCCTCAACACTCCGGGTAGCAACGCCGAGCCCCGCTGCGCTGTCCCCGACTGCCCCTCACCACCCACCCCCCACTCTTGATTCCAACAAAACACGTCCTTTCGGAGGCCTGTCTAGCCGAGGCGACTCACCTGGGACACCAGCTTCTTAAGGTACTCGAGCTCGTTGGACTTGTCGCCGGACACTGCATGTCAGTCATGGATCCAGCCTGGGTGACTCACTTTTTGATTGTGGGTGATGTGCAGATGCAAATGGACACAAGAAGGCAACGACGACGGTGGTTGATTGATTCGGCTCGGGGGTCCCTCGGACAAATGTCTCGCTCTCTCGTTCGCGCGTGTGCTCTGTGGGGGGGGAGAGCCGGAAATGACGATCGCCTGGTACCTCTCTTGCCCAGTCACTCAACCCGCGCCTCGTACCCCCGCAACGACTAACGCCGAGTAAGCCGCACCTTCTGGCCCCTGGATCACGTGACTCGCTCGGATAAGTAGGCAGCCTCCACTTCGGCGACCGTGTGAAGGCTAAGCGAACGGGTGAGTGACTGACCGCCGGGCGCGATGGGCGCGAGAGATGCACGCCACCCGTCGCAGGCACAGGCGTCATCGCTCGGCATCCACCGACAACCAGACGACCGCCGGTCATCCACCCCTCCCCCCGAGACTATTTTCGTCGGGACCGATGCAGTCGATAATCGTCTCTATCGCAACTACTACTTATCTACAGCTCTGAGCAGAGTTCTCGCCCAACTCATCGCTCAACCCACTCCAACTTCAGCTGACTCCCAGCTGAGCGCTGACAATACCCGGACTCATAGGCGCTCGAGCGCTCATCCTGGCTCGCGCCACCCATCGTCACCTTCGTTACTTTCCCCTCCGTCCCTCGCGACTCATCACCATGGCCGCGACTTCAACAGCACCCCCAAGCGTGCTCGACACGCCCTCTTCGGCGCCCTCGGCTAGCTCATCGACGCACACGCACATCCCGGAACCCGGCGACATTCCCGGCGACTTCAAGTCGAGTTTGGTCGCCTGGTGGTCCTCGAACGGATACCGCGACGCACGGCTGGCCGAGGAACGACTCCTGCGCAAGATGCCGTTCTACACGCCGTCGCTGCGTCCCGAGTCCAAGTCGTGGTTCTGGAACAATGCCTCCAGCGCCTCTCTCCCGAACGAGACCGAGGACACGCCAGAGCAGGGCACGGGGCTCGTGGCGCGCGTGCGCAAGGTCTTCGTGCCCACGCCGGACCCGCATGCCGCCCCGCCGCGGCCGGATGTGCCCGCTGCCTCGGATGTCGAGTCGATCTCGAGCGGAGGCAGCAGCAAGGCCGCCAAGCGGCTCAGCCGCGTCTTGCACCACGACAAGGAGCGGAAGGGGGACTACATCAACACGCTCGAGTTTACGACGCCTCAGACGACTGGGTCCCGCGAGGCCGTAGTCGTTTTGCACGGGTATGGAGCAGCGCAGGGCTTCTTCTTCAAGAACTGGGCCTCGGTGTCTCGCTCCGCGGCCGCGACGGGCCGCCGGACCTTCTTCCTCGACTGGCTCGGTATGGGTCTCTCCTCCCGCCCGAGTTCGCACTTGCTCTCCTCCAAGCAGCACTCTGTGGAATCACGCGTCGCCACAGCCGAGCACTTTTTCCTCGACTCGCTCGAGAACTGGCGCCGGCAAGAAGGGATCGACAAGATGTTGCTTGTGGGCCACTCGCTCGGCGGATATCTCTCCACAGCCTACGCCAAGCGGCACCCGGACCGTGTGTCCGCCTTGGTCCTCCTCAGCCCCGTCGGGTTCCCGCACAACCCGGACGGAAGCACCAGACCGCTCCCCGTCGGCGCCGACGGGCGGAAGGTCGACGGCATCGTGGCCGGAAGCAACGACCAGGCCGAAGCGGCAGTGCATAAGGAACTGGGCGCGGACCAGGCCAACCTGCAGCGCACGACTTCCGCTGGCCCCGCCACCGAGGCAACCGATAGGGACGAGCACATCAAGGGCGAAGCGCGGCAGTGGCGGAACGACTCGCCCAGTACGTATCGCAAGATCGCGACGCGCTCGATCCTGTGGGCCTGGGAACGGGGCTTGTCGCCCTTCTCCCTCATGCGGTCCTTGGGGCCGTGGGGACCCCTGCTGGTGGGCAAGTACACGATGCGCCGGTTCAGTGCGCAGGACCCAGACGACATCCGCGCGCTCCACGCATACATCTACGGCGTGACTGCGATGCGCGGCAGTGGCGAGTACTGCATCTCCCACCTCCTCGCTCCGGGGGCGTATGCGCGCATGCCCCTCGTGGAGCGTATTGCCGGCCTCAGCGTGCCCGTCACGTTCGCATACGGGGATAACGACTGGATGGATGTCAAGGGCGGGAACGACGCGCAGGAACGCCTGAGGGAGGCGGGCAATGCCGACGTGCACGTCAAGGTCGTCAGTGGGGCCGGTCACCACCTCTACCTCGACAATCCGGAGGAGACGAACCAGCTCATCGACGAGGCGATTAGGGCCGTGCCGAACCGTGGATAGTTAGAACTTCTTATAGACACATTGTAGACTTGTTGGGATAATGCCTAGATTCTGTGATATTACAACACGTTGCATCGATCATGGATTACGCTGTACTCAAGACGTCTGCTCGGACCTCGTCTGCGCTCCTCTCACCGAGTCTAGCCACGCAGGCATCACCGCAGCTCGCTCCGCTCGCCGCTCGCCGCCTACGCGACCTCCTCCATCTCCTCGTCCTCCTCTTCGGCCTCTGCCTCCGCATCCCCGTCCGCCCCTCCCTCGCGCCACAGCCGCACCATCTCATGCGCCATCCACGGCCGTTTCTCGAGCGCCTTGGCGATGTTTGGCCCAAACGTCTCCTCCAGCATGCTCATGCTGGGCAGGGGCGGGATCTGGCTGCTGTCCGCCGGCTTCTTCTCGATGATGCTCCCGAGCGCGCGGAACGTCGCCTTCATCAGGCCCGTCTTCGACTTGCGCCCGTCGCCGGGGTACAGCGACACGACCAGGCCGTCGATAACGGCCAGGCCTTCGCCGCGCTTGCCCCAGAGTGTCGAGCGGACAGACTGGGGGCCCAAAGCACTGATGCCGAGAACGGCACCCTCGTATCGTCCCGCTGGGGGGTGGTCGGCGCCAAGGGGTGAAGGGAAGGGAGGCGCCTGCAGCGCCTTTGTGAGCGTTGAGAGCAGGCGGGGGATGAGGCCCGGGTACGTCGCGGCATACTGCGAGACGAGCTTGGCAAGCACGTCCGAGGCACGAGAGCGCAGGTCGAACGGCGAAGGTCCGGGACCAGTGACGGGGTGCGGGCCGAGCGGCACGGTCAGGAGGATGCTGAGCAGCGGGCCAAGGAACTGGTGCAGCTGCTTGTCAGCTTCGGAATCCACAAAGCGTAGAAAGCAGGGCATCGCATGCCTCTGGTGTACTCACATACGGTTCCACGAACAATACGTCGTTGTCGAGGATCGCCTCGACAACATCGATGAGGCACCCGATCGTGCCCGTCGCGCCCATGAGGCACTTGGTGATGCTCTCGCTGACCCAGCGGATGGGGTACGCGAGCACGCCGGCAACTGCCGCGTCGCTGCGGACACTTGCGAGCGCAGCAAGACGATGCCACTCCGCCTCGGGGAAGGCGTGCGCCGTAGACCCAGGCGCAGGGTTGCCGGGGAGCTGGGCGAGGGCCGCCGTGCTCGGGACAAGCGCTGCGGTGAGGCGGGAAAAGTACAGCTGGAGTTCTGTCGTGAGGTGCGTCTTTGCGTTCTGCCTGAGCGCCGCGCTCCCTGTAGTGGGTTGCGGCCGCGTTGGGCCTGAACGCGCCGTCGGGGCGGGGTTCTCGGGGATCGCGGGCTGCACACCCTCGACGGCCAGCCAGTGCGCTTTCCACTTGACACCGGCGCTGTTCGCGAGCGCAGGCGGAAGGGGCTCCTTCAGGTACGTCGCAAAGTCGATCTCGTCGTCGATCTCGTGGTACAGCTGTCCAGCGGGACCCTGTGATCCACCGGGGACGGGGACAGCGTGGAACGGCGCCTGCGGCAGTGGTCGCGGAGGAACAATCACTGGCTCGACCGACAACGCCTCCATCGCGTGCTCCACGTCCTCAGGTAGCAGCGTCGTTCGCTTGCCGTGCACCATGAACTTCTTCGCCTCCTGTAGAAGGAAGTGGAGACGGTACTCGACATCACCGGCGAGCAGGTCCGCGGCGCCGGGTCCTAGAGGGTCGAGAGGGAGAGACTGATGCACCTCCTGAACGTTAGCTCGCAAGTCATGGTCCCGGAGCCCGGGATACGCACCTGCACCGACTCGGCGGGGTAGATTCCCATCACCGCTGGGGACGGCATTGTGGATGGGTGCTTTTGTTGTTGTGACGGAGTGTTGGAGGATCACCTTGAACGCGCTCATGTCACCGGTCTCGTGAAACAACACCGGCGACGGAACCAAATCGCCTGGTCGCAACAAGTCCGTTTGCTTATGATGACGTTCGGACTTCAACATTCGAGCTATGCTGACAAGACAGCTAAAGAGTAGAGTACAGATGCATGCTTAAGGTCTAGAGGTCCAGTAGTCCCCGGGTATTCTTCTATATTCCTCCTCATCACTCCGACGCTCCTCTCCGCTCCGCCGTTCCTGACTGTCTCGGTCTTGCTCCTGCTCGTCTGTCCCGCCGTCTTCCCGCACGCGCGCGGCGACAGCCTCCTCGCGTTCCCGGAGAACAGCCGTTAACGCAGCCAAACGCTGCGCACTCGTGCTCTGGCTGGGATCGATCCGCTCCTGAGCCTGCGCTAATGCCGCTGCTAAGGCTTGGAGTCGGTTCTGCGCCTCACGAGGTGTCACGGGCGGCGTGGTGGCCGGGGTGCCACCCGTCGTCAGCCGCGTCGGATTGGGAGCTGGCAGACGGAAGATGAGGTTAACGAGGTGAGACAAGCTGAGCGTAAAGATGAGGGGAACGCCGTTCCGCGGGTTTCGAATTCGCGAGCCGGCGTGGAACACGCGCTTGCCCGACGACGCTGTTGTCAGCTCTACACAGGCGAAACAGCTCACAAGTTGGCTCAACTTCCTCATCCTCTTCCTCAAGCCAGACCTCATTTTCGTCCGTGGCAACGTTCTGATACCTGGGACCCTTCCCCATTCGGCGCTGACGGAACTGATCGCCGGCTTCGACATCCACGTCGTCATCGGCGATCGGTGGCGGCGTATCCGGTGGCAACAGCAGGTCATCATACGGGAACAAGTCGGACTTGGGGAGGGTTGGGGTGAAGTTGACGACGTAGCACACAGCCACAGTCACAAGCTGCACAAAGTAGATGAGGAGGTCGAGCAGGAGAATGCGGGTCAGAGATGCCGGGTTGGCCGCGAGATTAGCAATGTCGACTTCTGAAGTGGCGAGCTCACCTTGGCCCACAAAGTCCAGGAAAACGCCCTTCGTCCCGTTCATACCGCTAGAGAAATCGAGATAGTGGAAGAGCGCTGCGACTGCGTTCATGACTGTCACCAGGGAAAAGAGGGCGAACAAGCTGCGCGTCGGCTGGATGATGGCTGGAGCACGGATTTCTGGTCTGTCAGCTACGGGACGCCAGCTTAGCTGCGCTCACGTATCTGTGACAGCAGTCGGAACACGAGGATGATCGTGTTCGGAGTGTAAAGATGCTGCATGAATGACAGAGCCTGCATGGTCGTCGAGAGCTGAACATTAGCGGTGAACTTTACGAGACTCTGTAGTATGAGAGCACCGGATCACGTCCGTGCGTCGCCGCCGGCGTGATTCAGAGAGATACAAGGCTGCCGGGAGCCACGAGGACAACAAGTCACAGCTTGAAGCATGTGATCGATGGACAGTGGACACTCACCTGGGCCACTACATGGCGTCGCTGTGGTGAGTACACCATAGTTCCGGGCACAGACGGCCAAAGCCGCTGGTCGAGGGTGCACTTATGAGAGGTCGCTGAGAGCCAAGATGGTCTAGGCTTCAGGCATGATCCTCGTCGCTGGGGTCCGCGAACGTCGATGCAAGCTCTTCTGCAGGCTGTCAAAGGTTGTTCTGGCCTAGTGGAAAGTGGTTGTGAAAGCAGGCGATGACGAGATGGAAAGTGAACGGATGGGCTGGATGAGTGACGAGTCGCTGGTGCGCCGCCGAGATGTGAGTTGCCTCCGTCGATCGCCGCCGGCGCGTTTTGGCGCAGCAACAACAACAACCGTCAACTCTGCTTTTGCCCTCCACCACTCCTCCACTCCGCCTCACCACTCAACAACACATACCTCCTGGCATCATATAATGCGTTCATAGCATGTCGGCCGTCCCTTCAGACCCCGAGGGGCGGCCCATCGCTGAGCCTATCGGTGCACCCATTTCTGATCCCATATCCGAACCTCCCGCCCCCGCCCCCGCACCCACCGCACCGACGCGTCCACTCAGCCGCAATGTCACGCCGCATCTCACCAGCGAAGAGGTCAGCGCCTTGCGTCGGGCGAGCTTCGCAAAGCTTTTCGAGAGGTGGAACGGCATCTCACACAAGTATGGAATGATCGCACCGGAAGAGGACGACGAGATTGACCTCATCACGGGCGAGATTACGTGTGACAGGGGCAGAATTAGAGCCTTGAAAACACGCGCTTTTGCCCGTGAGCTTCCATTCGTCGAAGGAGACGACGACGATGACGACGATGAAGGAGATGACGAGGAAGACGAAGGGGACGACTCCGACACGCCTATGCCTCCTCAGGACGACGACGCGACGCCCGAGCCAGAAGCGCGAAACGGGACCGAGGAAGGTCATCCCTTGCTGCAGGAGCAGCCGTGGACAGCCGAGGACGACCGAGATCTCGAAGAGTTCATGAAGGTTGAACGCATGCGTCGACTCGCCACCGGCGAAGCTCCTCAAGACGAACCTGTGCCTGCTGAGCTCGACATGGGTCTCGGAGCCAACATGGGCCCCGGGCAAATGGACGTCATCGCCATGCTCGTTCGAAGAGAAGTGGAACGTATGCTGGGCGGAGGTGGTCTTCAGCCTGCCCTGCCGGTTCCTAATGCAGCCGCTCAAGCTACGGCTAATGGAGCTCCTGCGGCAACCAATTCTGGTCCTCCGCAGCTGAACGGTTCCAATGGCTTGCCGACTGTTTCTGAGCGCCCAGCGGTCGCGAACCATCGTCAAGTCGAACGCACCGCATCTGTGAGCAATCGGTCGTTTCATCAGAACTAATGGCAGCTCTCTCGTACACCAACACCCGACCCCTCGGTTTCCAGATCGGCCTCGCTGCAAAGCATCCCGTCAGCACTGAAGAATGGCTCTACTCCAAGACCGCCCCGGTTGTCGTTAAGTGCTTCCAAAGTGCGGTTCGCGGACGGGGCTCCAGACACTATCCCGGACCATGAAGCGCCATTGTCTCACTCAGAAGCAAAGGGCAAGGGCAGGATGGCAGGCGAGCGTCCGAATGAGGACGGCAATCTTCGCCGCCAGAGTGCTCCACCACCGCGCTCGAGTCTCAGCGTCGAGATAACTCGCAAGGAGCGACGAGCGAGTGAGGGGGATGTACCTGAGCGACAAAGTGGCTCTCCATCTCCGTTGGATCCTGCCGACCCTCCTAAGAAGCGACGGAAGCGCCGGATCTCCGACGAGGAGGTGGATGCCAATGGGGAACGTGCGAAGTTTACACCTCCCAATGTCTACCTCAAGTCACTCTCCTATCACGAAGGGAAGCTCCGCGAATGCCGATACTGCCTCGACGCGGGCGAACCACGGTCCCGTTACGCCGCGCTCTGCCGAGGGCGCATCGACGAGCTGATGTGCCGCTTCCCCCAAATGACAGAGGAGGAGGTGAAAGCTGCGATCGCCTACCGTGAGGAGGAAGAAGCCAACTATGCGGCCACGCAGAAGCCGGAAGCAAGGACTAAGAAGCGCACCAAGCTTGCTCCGCCGGCAGAGGTTGTCACTGAGATCCCGACATCCTGGCGCCCTAGGCCGGGAGACGAGCGTTATTCCATGGCTCCTCATCGTGTGCGCGGCGGTTCGTTCAAGCGCTGCAAGTTATGCGTGGTCGCTGGCGGAGTCCGTGAAAAGCGTTCCATGTTCTGTATGGGACGCAGCGGCTACGGCAAATGCGCTTTCGAGTTTGAAGACCCCTCAGGCTCGTCTGGAGACGAAGAGGAGACGCCGGAACAGGCTGCCATCAAGCAGATGGAGCACCGCCTGTTGCGAGCGCAGAACGCGCGAATGGGTATGGTGGCACGTGTTCTCAAGAAGGAGGAGGTCCCCGCTGCTCCGTTGCGCAAGTCCACGACACCTTATGTCTCCTATCGACAGCAGTCGACCCGACCTGGTCTGCCGGCTACCCGAGGACCGAGCAAAGCTCCCGAAGGCGAGGAGCTTAATCCACGAGCCCCCAACGGCCGTCTCAAGCCTCGTTGCGGACCCTGTCTGCGCGCAGGCGGCAAACGAGCAGAGCGAGCCTTCCTCTGCCCCGGCAGTGGCCGACCTAAGTACTGCGAGTACGCGCCTAGTGCTCCGGGGCAGGGTGCCATGGCCGGGCCTAGCGAAGATGACACCGAGGCGACCGATAATAAGGACTCGGCCGTTGAGGCGGAGACATTCCCGGATCCGGAGATCGAGTTCATCGTGCAACAGCCGCTCCAAACCCCAGCTAAGAGCTCGGCCAAGCCTGAGTCGGTCACCCCGGCTTCGGGCAAGAAACCCACCGTCACGTCAGCGAATAAGGCGAAGGAGCACAAAGTGAAGGAGCCAAAGCCGAAGGAACTCAATGCAAAGAAGAAGAAGCGCCCCCGCAACAGCAGACTCGGAATGGAGGAGTCCTCAGCGGAAGACTACGAGACAGAGGAGTCTGACCACTCGCTCTCGTTCGCGGACTCGGACGACAGCGCCGACTCATCTGCAAGTGAGGACGGCCACATCATACGGCGCTACAACCGCGAGAGCACCGGGTACACGCTTCAGTCTGACGAGTCGCAAGACTTGTCCGTTCCCTTAGACTATGGCGGTGCCGACGCCGCCGATGATGAGTTCGAGGGTGTCGACACGTCCATGGAGTCCGCCATGGAATCCGCCGAGGCCGTCGACCCGCAGATCCTACGCACTGTGGCGGCGGGCATGGACGACTTTGTCCCCCGCCCGAACACGAACAAGTACGCGCCGTACCTCTCCTTTAGCGACGGCGGGGAGGGGTGGGCGACGTGCGCGCTGTGCGAGGCGGCTGGCGGATCCCGCGCCGAGTGCGCGATGTGGTGCTACGGCCGCGACGGCGAGCACATGTGTCGCCTGAATCCGGGCTGGGTACCGCCCGAACCTCCGCGCTCCCGCCGCGAGTCGCAGCGCATGTCTTCCGCCGAGCGCGGCGACCTGCCCTTCTCTCCCGAACACTCGCCCGATCCCCTCGAGTCGGACGTTGAGATGGACGATATTGTCCCCATCGGCGACCTGGCGGTGCACGAGGGCGGCGAGACCGAGCCCGAAATCGGGGACAGCAGCTTTGACTCGGAGCCTGCTCCCATCGTCCGACGCTCACCCGTTCCCCACTCTACGCCCCCGCCGAACTCGCTGCGCGAGTCCAGCGCCCATGCCCCCAGCCACTCTCCCCCGCGCATCACAGTCAACGGCTCCCAACCCCCAAGCACGCAGTATCGTGACCCGGCCGCCTTCGTTGCGTCCTCTGACCCCGCGCCATCCTCCTCACCCCGCAGCGCAGCGTCCTATGCCTCTCCCCTCCCCCATGCCGCTGATGGCCTCCAAGCCGCTCTCGCCCGGAGCATCAAGAGGGACTACCTCGCCACCTCCCCGCGGCGGACCCAGCAGACCTAACTGCAAAGTTAGCTCCCCAAGTCAAGCAAAATTGTATTCTGATTCGATCCCTCTCATTCGTATGTAATATTTGCACAAAGTCGTGTTGCATTGATGGTTGCATTTTTGTGTACAGTTACAACAACAGGGCATATGTTACAGTGTGTGCTATTCGCATCTAGCTCTAGCCTTAGGCGGGGTTCACGCACGGCGACGATACTTCGGCCCCGTCGCTAGGCCCTTCTTCGGCCTCCCGTTCCGGTCAGCGAGAAGGTCGATGATCCCTAGCGGTGGGGCGGGTTTCTTCGGCGGCCTCGGCGGCGTGTCGTCCAGCACGATGACTTCGCGCTCGGGGCTGGGTGTCGGGCGCTTCACGCCCCTCGTCTCCGGCCGTGTCTCCGGTCGCGTCTCTGGGCGCGGGTGGGGTTTCTTAAACGGGTTCGTCTTTGTGCGCTCCCTCACAGGCTCGGGACTCATGACTACCGTGTGTGATGGCCGCAGAGGGGACGAGGACGCAGCGACGAGTACGCGCTTCGGACTAGGCGTTGAGAAGTACTTTGACTTTGTCTTGGACTTGATGGGCTTCGAGGGCTTGCCAGTGGGACCGTACGAGAATGTGCGGGCTGTCGTTGATCGGCGCGGGAGAGGCGGGCTCGAATCGAGTCCTTGCAGTGAGGGCATGTCGACCATGAGGCTCTCCTCTGCCTCTGTTGGTTCAGGCGTTCCGGGCAGGGAGGTAGCAGACTCGCTCCGACCTCGCGCGTCGGCGTCGGCTGCATCGGCGGCGCCTGGTGCGGGCACTGCGCCGCCCGCCTTCAGCGCCGCATTCTCCGCCTCGAGCTCCGCGATCCGCCGCTTCATCTCCTTCCTGCTATCGAGCTGCGCGTTAGTTGGAAAGCCACCGACCAACTCACTCGGCTACGCAGCAGCTGGACCTGCTTGTTCCTGTCGTCCAGCCTGGAGCGCGTCTCCTCTGCATCCTCCCGCATGCCCTTAATCCGCTCCTCCTGCATTCTGAGCCGCGACTCGAGCTCCTGCTCGCGCTCGTACGCTGCGCGCTTCGCATTCCGCCGCGCAACCTGTTCCTTTTGCAACTCGTGCTGCATCAGCTCGCGCTGGGCGTCTGCGTGCGTAACCTTGCGCTCCATTCGTGCTGTCTCTGCGCGTACGGCGTCAGATACCGCCCGGGGAAGCTCGACGCGCTGAAACCGGAGCAGGTCAGCCTCGCGATCCCTAACTCGCTGTTCCGCCACAGCGAGGCGCGTCTGCAGCGTTCCGACGAGAGGGTGTTCCTCGAGCCGACCGCTGAACTCGTTAAGCGCGCGCGTCAGCCCGCCGATGTACGCCTGGGGTTAGCTACCAGACAAGTCAAACAGCTCCGCACAGGGGCTCACCTTGAAGCCTTTCGCGGCTTTGGTCTCCGCCGCATCCATGCGCAGACTCTCAGCGCGGCGCAGCATCCCCATTACGTCGTCTTCGTTGCTGTCCGCGGTATAGCTGTTAACTTCAGCGCCGAGGTTCCGCGCCCTCCGCGCCAGGTTCAGCAGTTCCTGGTCCGCGGGCCGCTTCCAGCTCTTCTGCGTAGGTCGGGGTGGTGAGCTCCCAACCATCTGGTGTCAGCTTCCGTCACAAGTGTGAAGCTGGCTGCATGCGCTCGCTGAGCGACCTTTGCCTAAACAATGGGACGCCCGCATCACCTCACCTGGGAGCTCATAGCCTCCTCATCGCCCCAATTGATGAACAAGCGGTGAATGGCCGGCTCCCCGCTCTCGGGGTCCGCGAAGCACTCGGTCCGGCACTGGGGGCATTCGGCGGGTGCGTCGGCGGCAGTGAGTTCTTCGCCGCGATACTCGCGCGCATTGGCGAGATACACGTCTGCCTGGGACTTGAACCAATCCAGGAGACAGCGTTCGTGGAAGACGTGGCCTGGGCGTTAGCGGCGAGCGGCGAGCGGCGAGAAGCGAGCGAAGCGAGCGCGAGCGTGACGAGCTTCGCGAGCGAGCGTCAGAGGGATGAGAGAGTATGAGCGGGTAAATAAACAGCTGGGGATCAAGACGTCGACAGCTGAAAGACTACTGTCTCAGGTGGAAACGCAGCAAACAGACGAGAAAGAAGGGCGTGGAAGAGAGGAAGAGAGAACACAGCTCGCTCGCTGCGCTCACTGCGCTCGCGGAAGACGGACTCACCACAATCCGGCGTCGCAATCGGCAGAACCTCGTCCAAGTCGTCCCTCAGGTCGAACAGCGAGTCCATGCAGATCGCGCACGACGCGTCCTGCAGGCGCTTCATGTTTCTCCAATGTGACTGTAATCTTGATCAGAAGTCGGGGTTGGGTAGATGATGGAGGTGAGGAAGGAGTTTGGTGACGAAATGCCGGTCTGAGCGCGCGAGGGGTGGACAATGTTGCCGAGGGGCGTGCCTGGGACGCGTCGGAATCGAGGTTGGGTGGCAAAGACAAACCCGTGTACCTTCTCCGCACTCCGTCTTCCTTCTTACCCTCGACGCGATGGAAGGAGAGAGTAGATGTAGGAATGTGGGTGCAATGGGAAAGAAGCAGGATATGCATAATGCGTAGAGTGCGTAGGATACGTATAGAGCGAGGTGAACTGCGAAAGAGGGCCGTAGCGCGGATCCGACCTCCACCACCCGATTGCGACATGTACGCCTGCCTGACCTCATCGGCGTCTCATTCCGGCTTGATAAGCCCCATCTTCAGCCATCGATCCATCCCCAGTTCTTCTCGCCCTTCTCGCCCTTCTCGCCCTTCTCGGCCCCCTTACAACTCCCAACTATAGAGGAGAATGGTCGACTACCACATCATCGTCAACCCGCTCGCCGGCTCCGGCCGCGCCCAGACCTGTACGCCATCTGTCTTTCCCCACTAACTCCAGTCGTGACAGATAACGTGCTCCCGCTGCTCACCCAGCATGGACTGTCGTACAAAATCCATGAGACCGACGCGGCGTCCTCGGGCTCGGGGTCCATCGCGCGAGCCATTATGGCCGACCGATCCGATCCTACGCGTGTGATAGTGGCCGGGGGAGACGGGACGGCGCACGAGCTGATTGACGGTGTCCTTTCCTCCGGGTCTGTGGGGCGGTGGGAACTCGTAGTCCTGCCGCTGGGGACGGTGAGCTAGGTTCCTCTCTCGATAGCTGACAGTTAGGCCAACGCGCTACACTCTTCGCTCTTCCCCGCCTCTGACGAAGATACGACGCTGTCCAGTCTAACCTCAGCTCTGGCGGGAAGCGGACTGAGGAGATTAACCATCACCGAAACGTCCATGTCCCCTGGCGAAGGGGGCGGGCGCGCCCTCTCGCATATCGTCCAAAGTACGAGTCTGCACGCCAACCTGCTGCACGACTCCGAGGCGCTCCGCGCAACCATCCCCGGTCTAGAGCGGTTCAAAGTCGCCGCAAAGCAGAACATCGGTGAATTCTACGCCGCAAGCGTATCTCTCTCTGGCCCCGTTCTACAATGGAACCCGAAAACAAACTCCTGGGTCGAGCCGTTCACGGTTCCCCCTACAGATGGGGGAGTAGAGTTCGGCGAGAATGAGGAGTTTGCATATTTCCTAGCGAGCTCGACGACGCCGAGACTCGAGCCGACATTCGAGATCTTGCCCACGCTCTCTGAGCCGGGGGAGGGCGCGATGGATCTCCTGGTCATGAGGCCGGGGAGGGATCCGAGGGTCCGGGCCTTGCGATCCAAGGACGCTTCTGCGGACATTACTCCCGACTCTCCCAAGACCGCGGAGATTACTGAGACGACAGACGAAGGGAAGGAGGAGCAGGAGGAGGACCCACTGGCGCGCTTCAGTCCCGCCGGACGCACATGGGCCCCCCGCGCCCAAGAGCTCCTCACGGCAGCGTACCACGCCGGGTCCCACATTGACTTGTGCTACCCCACTTCCCCCGACCCCTCCTCAACTCGATCTACCCAACCCTCTGAGCCTCGAGCAAAAGGGGACGGAGGAGACAGAGGAGACGGAGGAGACAGAGGAGACAGAGGAGACGGAGGAGACGGAGGAGACGGAGGAGACGGAGGAGACGGAGGAGACGGAGGAGACGGAGGAGACGGAGGAGACGGAGGAGACGGAGGAGACGGAGGACATGCTCCACCTGCATCCCCGCTCTGACGGGCTCGAGGCCGTCCCCGGCACCAGTTCCCGGGCTGGAGAGCCCGTCGCTGAGCTCTTCAGGTGTCGGGGGTTTACATGGCGGCCGAAAGACAGTCGTAGTAAAGCGGGACTGGTCTGTGTCGATGGGGATATTGCGAGGGTGCCCGAGAGTGCGGAGTGGAGGGTGAAGGTGCTCGAGATGGGGAGGGAGGGGTTTTACGTCTATGGTCCGTAGGTTATGAACAACACTGCTTTACTGCACGTTCACTCATCAGTGGGCACTCACTTTGGCCATAGGACCACGCCGCTCAGATTTGCTCACTGCGCTCAAAGACGCTGCGCTCGCTTCGCTCGCTTGCTCGCGGCGCGTGGACTAAGACTGCATTAACTGATTTCCCTATACACACGGAGCTCTCGCTCCTATGGCTGGAATAAAGACTGTATACAAAGCTAAGGAGAGGAGAAGTAGTAGTGGTGGTCGTGGGGGTTTGGGGGACAAGTTTTGTTGAGCAATTTTTGGTTTAACGAGAAAGTAAGAAAAAAGAGAAGACACTAAATTGAAGAGTGAGAGAAGAAAGCCAAGGAAGCCCTAAAGAGTTGGATGGAGTCGAGAAGAAACCCCGCGGCGCGGTTGTGACGTGGACAATGCAAGAGGAGGAGAAGGAACAGTCGTCTCTATGTTCATGCGGGTGGCCGTGAGCAGAAATGTGTCGTTGAGATTGGACGTGGAAAAGTCTAAGTTGAAAAGAAAAACATCGATTAGTTCTTCCTCGCACTCTTGATCATGGTGGACAGACTCGAGAGCTTGGCGGCATACTTGAAGAACTCGTGTCGTAATAACTGCTCGGCCGTCGGCCGCTTCTCCGCGTCCACCGTGAGACACGCCTGCAGGTAGTCGCGGAACACGCTCGACAGCTTGTCCCAGTCCTTGATCTTGGGCGTTCCGTTTGTCGCGATCAGGTACAGAGCGCGCAGGGGGTTCTCGTTAAGATAGGGCGGCTCGCCCTCGAGCATCTCGATCGCCATGATGCCGAGCGACCAAATGTCCACTTTCGGTCCGTACTCCTTGCGCGTGACAACCTCGGGCGCCATCCAGTACGGCGTGCCGACCATGGTCGTGCGCTTGGTTGAGAGGGGGTCGGCGATTCGCGCGCAGAAGCCGAAATCGGTCAGCTTGACGTCGCCGTTCAGCGACAGCAGAATGTTGTCCGACTTGATGTCGCGGTGAATGACACCCTTCGAGTGCAGGTGGCGCAGTCCCTCGCACGTTTCGCGCGACACAGCTGCTATCTGCGCCTCGCTCATGCAGTGCGCGGTGACAACATCCGTGAGTGATCCTCCCTCCATGTACTCCATCACGACCCAGAGGTCTCCCTTCCAGAGGTACGAGTCCTTAAAGTTGACAATGTTCGGGTGACGGCTCTCACGCATGACCAGAATCTCGTTGATAATGAGGTCCTGCTTCGGCTGCTTCTCCAGGTTCATCTGCTTGATGGCGACGGGCGTGTTATTCCGGTCGTATGCCGTGTAGACACCACCCGACGCGCCCTGGCCAATCTTGACCAGGCTGCGGTAAATCTGGTTCGGGTCGCCAGGGGAACAGATCATCTGCAGCTGGCGGACAACCTCCTCATTCTCCTTGGCCTTGTCGCGACGGCGCGTAGTACCGCCTTGCTCACGTCCCTTTGTCTGTGATCGAGACACACCACCGGCAGATTGTGACGGCACGGTGGGCGGCGCATCGCGCTCGCGCTCACGTTCCCGGTCACGACGCTTGCCCGACTGAGACAGCGACTTGTGTAACGGGGGAGACGCGCCCTTGCTCGGGGGCGCACGAGACGACAGCGACCGGTCAATCGTCTTGGGCTTGGCTTGCGGGGTGGAACTTCCGCTGCCAGGAACGCGCTGCGAGTGCGAGCGCTCGACCTGTGACGGCGCCTGCGGCGCGGGCTGGGCCACGTCCATGGCTGCCCTGGGCGGCTTGGACGGCGCCGGGCGATCAGACTGTAAGCGAGACGCCGACGAGGAAGACTGTTGTTGCGGCACTGGGGGCGGCGCCGGGGCTGCTCGCGGGTTGTTGTATCCATATGCCGAGCCGTCGTTCGAGTTTTCGCGCGACATGTCCGCCGAGTTGGGCTGTGGTGACGGTGTCGTGCCAGACGAGGAGAACTGGTGCGCGGGGCCCGCATTGCGCATTTTGCTCCAGACGTCGTCATCTGGGCTTTCCGAGTCGAGGTTTCGGAAGTAGTCCACGACAGCGAGAACCTGTTCCCGGTTCTGCTCCTGCTCAGCACGGGTGATTCCATTCTCATCCAGAATCTGCTGCCACTCGGCAGGCATGCCCGTGTCTGGGCGTCAGTGACCAGTTTGGAAAAATAAGTGTATGTGTACTCACACTGTCCCGTGTTGTAGTCGAAACCGACGTGCGTCAGGTGGATCGGGTCATACGGGGTGGAAATGATGGGCTTTTTCGCATCGTTCGAATTGAGTAGGTCTGTTTGTGTGTCAGTTGTATTGTGTACGACACTCTTCGCACTCACCACTCAGGACACCAAACATGCTCTTCTTGTCCTTTGAGCTTCCCTTTGTTCCGCTTCTAGCGCGCACCGTCGGGGGACCATTCGGCAGCTCCTTGTCCGTTTGCACAGGAATCGTAGGGCCGAGGCTCATCTTGGACTCGAGGCTCTGTTCTAACGGTGTGGGGGTGGAGACAAATGTTTGGCTGCTGCTGTTGCCCGACGTGGGCGTGGAAGGAGATGGGATCGCGGGCACAGGTGGAATGGAGAGCTGAGGGAGGGGAGAGACCGACATCCCGTTGGAGTAAGAAGCACCGGGGTGCTCTCCTGCAGGAAGGGTACCAGAGCGCACGGGGCGCGGGGGCTGGGACATCGAAGAGCCTGCTCCTCCAGGGCCCATTGTGTAGGAATGGCGGTTCACGCTGGGCGATCCCGCGGCACCAGCAGCAGCAGCACTAGTGGTAGAGTAGGCGTGGTGCAGGGGCGGCCTTGACGGTGTCGAGGTGGTCGATGAATAGGTGCCGTTCGTGTTGCCGTTGTTGTAATGCGGTTGTTGAGCCATACTGTACGGATCAGACTTTCGGGACGACTTTGACGTGGAAGAAACGGTGGATGAGTGACCCGCGGCACCAAAGTTGCTGGAAGGCTGGTAGCCAGAATCCGAGCTGCGGAACGAGTCTTGACGATACGAGTCCTGGCGACTGTATGACGAGGGCGGATTCGCGAGCGCGGCGCTAGGTCGGGACGACTGCTGCGACTGGGATTGCTGCTGCTGTTGCTGTTGCTGCTGGGGGTATTGGTGGGATGACGAGCCCGAGAGCGAGAGGCCGAGCGAGAGGTCAGAGCCGGCGGTCTGGCCTGTCGAGTTGCGCGAGGTGTAGGCGTTACTGATGGGGAGGTCTGGGCTCGAGTTCATCGGCGTTGCGCCAACATCTGATCCCTAGTCAGTGCTTGAACGAAGAGATGGTGGTGGTGGTGGTTGTCCCCGAGGTCCGAGCGGGGGTGGTGGTTGGTTGATGGAAAGGGAAACTTACATTCTGCTTGTGGATGGCGGATGGCCCCTATACGCTTTGGGCTTGTATGGGACATGGTGAGGGAAGGGGGTGAAATAAGAGGGGTCTAGTCGTCACGAAGGAAGGCGTGTGTGTGACTATGACTGGGGGGTGTCGGGGCGGAGGTCGGTCGAGACTGGGTGGTCGACTGGGAGAGAGAGGCGCGCGACTGAG